GACTGCGGCGCGGCTGGGGACGCGCATGCGCAGCCGCGCTGGGCTCCGGGCCGGCCCCGCGGTCGTGACCTTGAGCCAATCTTTGGGGCAGGTGGTCACTGTGAAGTGCCCTTCCCCAAAGGGGCGGCGGCAGCTCCCCGCGCCCTCAATCCCCGTCCCAAAAGGATGCACAGACTTTTGCAACCCAGGGCGGCAGGGGCGCGTGCCTGCCCGCCCAGCACCGTGGTCTCGAGCGGGACCCCGGCTCGGGCAGGCGAGAGCTCCCCTCCAGCCGCCTCTGAGGCCAGGAGGGCCGGGGGTGGAGCCGGCGCAGCGATCCTGGGCTCGGGCCCCGGGGTTGTGAAATTCGGTTAAAACAAATCGGCGTGCAGGGGCTGGGCTGTCATGCGGGGAGGCCGAGGCGGGAGGACCCAAGTCCAGCCCGAGCAGCTAAGATCGAGAAAGGGACCCCGGGTTCAGTCTCCGGAGTCGCACCGCGCAGAATGCAAGAGGGAGGTTAGGGTGGTCGGCGCTTCGGACGCCCCCAGCCCTAGTTCGGTTCAGGCCCGCTGGTCGCCTACGATGGGCTCTCGCCCTGCAGCCCAGGTGGCCGCGAGCCCGTGGAGTTCCTCCTGCCTCGGCCTCCCCGCGCTGGCGTGACAGCCCTGTGTCCCCGCCCGTGTCACCGGCGCGTGACTGACCCCCAGGTCCCCGCAGGTGCAGCACGCCAGCAAGCAGATCGCCGCCGAGAAGCAGTACAAGGGCATCGTGGACTGCATCGTGCGCATCCCCAAGGAGCAGGGCGTGCTGTCCTTCTGGCGGGGCAACCTGGCCAACGTCATCCGCTACTTCCCCACGCAAGCCCTCAACTTCGCCTTCAAGGACAAGTACAAGCAGATCTTCCTGGGCGGTGTGGACAAGCACACGCAGTTCTGGAGGTACTTCGCGGGCAACCTGGCCTCCGGGGGCGCGGCCGGCGCCACCTCGCTGTGCTTCGTGTACCCGCTGGACTTCGCGCGGACCCGGCTGGCCGCCGACGTGGGCAAGTCCGGCGCCGAGCGTGAGTTCAAGGGCCTGGGCGACTGCCTGGTGAAGATCACCAGGTCGGACGGCGTCCGCGGGCTCTACCAGGGCTTCAACGTGTCCGTGCAGGGCATCATCATCTACCGGGCCGCCTACTTCGGCATCTACGACACCGCCAAGGGTGAGTGGTCGGGCTGGCTCTGGGCGCAGGCTGTGCCGTGTGTGCGTGTCTGCCTGCTCTCAGACAGGGCCGGAGTGAGTTCAAGGCCAGCCTGAGCTGTGCACCAAAGATCGTTTTAAAGAACCCTAGAAATGGCCAGGCTTTGCAGCAAGTCAGGCTGTGGTGCCGTGGCTGTGGGGGCTGTGGCTGGGAAGCGTGGCCGGTCCTTCAGCCACGGAGCAGCTCCCCCAGCTGTGGCTGAGTGCAGCCACGGGGTGTGCGCTTGGGGCT